GCCATTTGCGGCCCGGCGGTGGCATCAAACACCTCGCGATCAGCGTCGTCTTTCGACGGCACCAGCCAACGCGCGGGCTGGAAATCCGCCACCGGATAAGGCGACGAGTTCCAGCTACGGATGCGGCTGGCTGCGTTGAGGGCCGTCTTCGTGCGTTGCGAGTCCGGTATGTCGAATTCAGGCTTCATGATGCTCTCGCCGATGGTGACCAGGATGACGTTTGTATCTTTCGGAATTCGGTGGCCTAGAATGGTAGTGTCGTGGAGGGCCTGTCGGTCGGTAACGGACGTCGTTCCCGCGCAGCGGAGGATCTCCTCCATGGTGGCGTCTAGATACGGGATGGTGGTCTTAATGATTTCTTCACAGGTGGGCTGCCGTTTCTCTGCTGCTGCTTTCGAAAGGTGCTTGCGTAGCTCACCGTGAAGCTGTCGTTGGATATCCTGATGATCAGTAAGGTACTTCAAGCCCCATCCAAAGGTTGTGGCGCTGGTCTCATGCCCCGCCATCAAGAAGCCAAAGACCTGCAATCACTCCCTCGATTCAGTAAAGCCTCGTCGAATAAGCGGCTGGCTGTTTTGACATACCTCGCTATGCATTCCAACAGACTTGAATACCAGTTTTCTACCTTCTTTCTCAGCAAAAAGCTTCTCCCTATGTATCATGTGGTCGACTGCCGAGGATACAGGTTCCTGAGACTCGAGTCTCTCCACAGCGATGTCAATCTCGCGATCGATCAAGTCGTCTCGGATCCGCTTGGCCTGCTTGATGCGCGAAGTTTGGTGCATACACCAGGACCGAAACCTTGGAAACACGGCTTTCCTCGCCTCCTCGACAGATTCGGCCAGAGTCAGAATCGCATCGACGATCTTGTTCCTCGCTTCTTCTGGAAATAACACAGGACTTCCAGGTTCGGAAGGTTCTTCTACCCCTCCCATGGAGGCGACCGCTTCAAGTCGGGCTGGTATCGCCGAATGAGCAAAGGCTCCCCCAAACGAGAACGAGAACACCGCGTCCAAAGCACCGTAGTAAATAACCTCAAACGCAGCAAAGGGGCGTCCCCTGGCGAGCCGCGCCTTGTGATCCCACAGCTCGACAACCTTAAGCACGTTCTGGTAGATCGGCTCAGCAGCGACGTTGTGGAGGAAGCCTGGCGTCATGAGGTCTTGCAGCCACCTCCGCTGCCTCTTGTAGAGGGGGTCCTGGCTCTTTATGAGCATGTGGAACTGGGGAAACAAAGGGCCGAAGATGTGTTCGAGGCTGTCTGAGCGGTCGAGCTCTTTGGTTCGCCGCATGGTGATGTCCTCGGCTTCGCGAAAGTCGGAGAGGACGACTAGGGGTCGCGAAAAAGGTGCCAGCCAGAGCTGGATGATGGGTGACTGGAGCTTCTCGCATTGGGAAGAAACCCATTTCCAGAGCGATATGTCTTGTTTTTGGCTGTCAAGGAGTGCGGGAATGTCTCCCATGAGAGAGTTCGCTGCATCTTTGTTGTATGGTATGCCGGGTATTGGTTTTGGGAGGAGGAATAGGTACAGAGCATATGCTGACAATATGAAGACTATGATCTGGAAAAGAGTCATTTGAGAATCAAACTGATTTGGATACATCTTCAAGAATAGGTGCCCTGGGATTGTGATCTCGCGCTGTATTCGATTCTACTAAGAGGTTTCTCGTTGCTTGTTTGTATAACTCTGATTTGTCTCATAGTCTACCAATGAACTATGCAATTCCACCTCCTTATAGGATTCAAGTTCATGTTATCTAAATGGCTCGTCGATGTTGTGATTCACCGCGGCTATGAGTTCTACCATGGGCTTAGTACAACGGACTCAAAGTCCGAGTCCGAGTCCGATCCCGAAGCCCGGGCCCCACCCCGTGGTCAAAGTCCACCACCGCCGTTCATCCATCTTCCCACAACTATTCCTCCCACACAACAATGAGAAACTGATCGATACTTCTCAGTATTAGGGATGGAAGGGTCTTATCAGACCAAGTTCCGGGTTCGGCGTCGACGAACCCTCGCCTGCACGGAATGCCGAAAGAGAAAGCTGAGGTGCGATCACCAGCGCCCCTGCAGCAGCTGCCAGCGGTCAAAGAACAGGGTATGCACCTACCCCGAGCCGTCTACGTCCTCACGATGGAAAAGCCCTCCTGAGACGCAGAGAAGTCCGGCGCGCGATGAGTCTACGCAGCCCGAGGCCGCAGGGACAATACCGCTTCCGCCTCAGCAGCCCGACCCGCCGCAGCCCGCCCCGGAATCCGGAATATGGCATTCATCATCTCTTGGAAGTGTTCTCATCAGCAGACCGTCAGCTTCAACGTGGAATGGAGAGACGGTTGTGGGAGAGTCGCCCACACACGCAGCGGAAGGCGCCCGCGCCGAGCTGGACGGATCTCCCACCATTGCTACGTTGACCGACGTCTCGGTTCCGCCGACGTTGTTGATGGCCAAATCGAGATATTTCTCTCCGGGTCATTGGCTGCATTCAGTCATTTTGGTAGGTCCACTATTTGTCCTTCGATATCGTCTTTTCATACTTGTCTCACATGTCTAACAGAATCTACCAGCCTTGAAATGGCTAGATGAGGAGATGTCTAAACAAGGGGAGTGCTGGCAAGGTCTCCAACGGTGTCGACTTCTAGGGGAGAGCCTCAAAGCACAGCGTCTTTTACTGCGGTTCCCCGGGCAATATGGATCCCATCTGCCGGATAAAGACGCCTCGTCCAAGTTACTCGAAAACTATCTTCGCACTTTCGAGACGGTCTACCGTGTCGTCCATGTACCAACGCTCAAAGGGGAATACGAAGCCTTCTTAAAGAATAACGAAAATACCAACACAAGCTTTATCATCACTCTCTAATTATGCATGGCGCTCGGAGCGTGCGTCAACGATGACACCTTCTCACTCAGACCCCAAGCTCTTCAGTGGATCCACGAAGCCCGTGAATGGCTCGAGTCGTCCGAGAAGAGAAGATTGACAATGAGCGGCATACAGATCATGTGCTTGGTCCATCTCGCTCAGCAGGCGACGGAGTCCTTATATGGCGACCGGGTGTGGATCCTCAACGGGACCTTGCTCCGGTCCGACATGTGCATCGGCCTCCACCGGGACCCGTCGAAGTTGCCGCGGATGTCGGCGTTCCAGGCCCAGATGCGTCGTCGGCTGTGGCTGACTGTGATGGAGATGGTGCTTGATGCGAGTGTTGACTCTGGGCAGCCGCCTTTCATCTCGGAGGATGACTATGATTGCGAGCTCCCGGCTGATCTGAACGATGGTCAGATTGGGCCCGATATTGAGACGCTGCCGGCTCTGAATACTACCACCACTTTTACGAACATGTCACTTCAGATCGCTATGAGTCGTTCCATTGGAGTTCGACTATCTGTAGCAAAACACTGGAGCAAAATCAAACCGAACGGCGGATACGCTTCCGTGCTACAGCTAGGATCAGAATTGGTGGCCGCACGCCAGCTACTAAACAAGACTCTCTCCTCCCTCCGTCCCAAAGCGTCCCAATATCAGCACCGCTTCTGCGACACAATCCTCACGCGATACCTCTTCACAATCCACATGCCATTTGTCCCGCTCTCAAACCCTCTCTTCTGCCACTCACACAAGACCTGCGTCGACGCCGCCCTCGAACTTTCCTACCTCACCCTGCCGGCCTCGTACCCGGACAACCCCTTCGTGGAAGCCATCCGCATGGTATCAGGCATCAAAGAGTCCTGCCCCGACTTCGACCGCCTCGTCACGTGCGGCTCCGGCTCGTTCAGGATCACCAAGCACCTCGCGACGAGCATCCTGGCCGCGGACCTGGCCGCGCGGGTGGCTGAGAATGGGGTCTCGAAGCCGGGGTCGGCGCTACGGATTGCCGAGGAGCGGTGGCTTCTTCGTGCGGGGGTGGACTGGGCTGAAGCACGCATCAGAGCAGGGCAGGATAATGTGAAGGATTATGTTTTCTTTGCGGTTGTACTGGCTGGTGTTGAGGCCCAGATGAGTGGGGAGTCTGCTGAGCGGGCGATGGAACAAAGGGGACGTGAGGTTATTGATAAGTGTACGGAGATCTTGACGGAGATGGTGGGGGATCAGGAAGTGCCACAGGGCAGCTATCCCAGTGTAGCTCTGGAGGATGGCGAGTTGGATATAATGGGCGCTTTTTGGTCCAGCGACTTTTCTGGGATTGGTTGGATGGACTCAATATCAATGTTGCCCATATAAGAGAATAATGAGTATCTAATGCTGTTCTCCGTTCAAAGTTTCTGGGCGCGGAGTCTCAAGGCCGAGTCCGAGGACCGACCCGAAGATAACTGACAAGCGTTCCAAGTTTGTACTGCAAGGTCTTGCACATAAACAGCGGGACAATCTCCGCATTTTCAGCGTTGATTCACTTCAGAGTCGACATCCAATTCGTGTAACACAAACATGAGGCCAACCCAGGTTCTCCAGTCAGGACCGCACGTCCCAGTTGGAAGATATGGCGTGTGAGTGACTGCCAAAGCCCATATGCTTTACGACTCGAGACGAGAACTCATCATTAACGGCTTGTGACGAAGTGCAGCTGGAAGGGATGGTGGGGGGATATTGGTAAGCCATCAGCTCATGATGGAGTCGGGACTGGCCTTCGGGCCTTCATGGCTGACTCCGCCCCAGGAGGACAGAAACAGAGCGGAATCATCACGTACGGCATCGCACCAAATCGTCTCAATCCATTGGCCGGCTTCGCTCACAACGCCGTCTTCAACGTTTGGAGACGCTTCGCCGGCCAATTCTGGTATGTCGCGCCGCCGATGGTTGCCGGGTGGTATGTGATGTACTGGGCTGATGAGAGGTGAGATACGTTGTGCCTCACGAGAGCCTTTGGTGTGAGTAAGAGTATTTCATCTGACTGCTTTCTATCAACAGAAACCGATATCTCAACTCAAAGGCAGGAAGGCTTGAGTTTCGGGATAGCCAACCTTAGTTTTGTGATTGACTCCTTTGTCATATCACGACCATCTTTCTTCACGGCTGTCTACTATTCATATCCGCCAGACCAAAGAACATCTGAATGGCTTCCTCTCTCCACGTATCAGGCTGTAGGCTGAGACCGTCCGTAGCACTGAACACCATGTTCTCCGGCTTTCCTCGCGTGTACACCGGCCAAGTGATATTACCGACTGACTCTGTGTTATGTTAGTGAACATCTTCAAGAAATAACTTATGGGATATAGAAAGGCCTGACCTTGGTGATGATCATTTGGCGACCCCGAAACCACAAAGCTGATCCACATCCCGCTCATTACACCCGCCAACTCCTGAAACTGCCTCCTCAACTCGACATCTTTCGGAAACGGATCGACCTCCCACCCCGAACCGTCCTTATCCCCAAACACAAACGGAATCTCCTGAAAATGCGTCGCCCCCAGCGTCTCCTTATCAACATTCGCCGTCACCACATCAAAAAAGTAACTATAACACGCCACCCCGCTCTCAGTCCACACCCTTGCCGCAAGCCGCCTCCCCGCATGAAAGAACCCGTCCCCGAGAAACAGCGCCGTCTTGCCGTACTCCGCCCCCAGCGCCGGGCCCGGGCCCGGGTCCGGCCGCACCGTGCCCAGCCCCGCGGCCGACGGCGCGTCGATCTCGTCCTGGTACAGCGCCGACCACCTCTCCACCATCGCCTCGGGCGGGAGCTTCCCGCTGTTCGAGGCCGCGACGATGCCCGCGAAGTCTTCGTGCGTGTTCAGCGGCCCCGGCATGGCGTACTGCACCACGGAGGTCGCCTCGTTCCTGTTCGTCCCGATGAGCAGCGGGACTTTGACGAACTTACCCGCGCGCAAGAGGTTGTAGCTCGTGTCGGTGACGAGGTCGCCGTCCAGCGCGAAGGTGTGCGAGTACGGAACCGCCATGCTCGCTTTATTCAGCACCTCAGCCGGGACAGAACGCAAACACGCCAGCGGCTCCTTAACCCCCGCGCAGCCCGTCACATTCAACACACTCTCAAACTGCACCCTCTTCTCCTCTTCACTCAAAAACGGCGCCGTCGAAAACGGCCCGCCGCTCTGCGCGATCGCGCTGCCAAACAATCCCTCGTCCCGCGCCATGAGGTGATACCCAACCGACGCGGCCCCCGCGCTCTCCCCCGCGATCGTCACCCTTCTCGGATCACCCCCAAACGCGGCTATGTTCTCCTGCACCCACTTGAGCGCCTGCCTCTGGTCGCGGAGTAGCAGATTCTCCTCCACCCCCGCGGCGTTCATTATGCCGAACAGGCCGAGGCGGTAGTTCACGCTGACGAAGATAATAGGCGTCCCCATTGCCACGGACCGCGCGACGAGGAAGGAGCCGTTGTAGCGCGCGTCGACGGCGCTGCCGTGCTGGAAGCCGCCGCCGTGAATCCAGACCATGACGGGCAGCTTGGGTTCCGGAGGAGGGCTGGCGGGGCGGACGATGTTGAGGTGGAGGCAGTCTTCGCTCATCGGGGCTGTGTCGGGCTGGTAGATCCCCGGGACGCGGAGAGCGTTGCCCATGCAGTAGGGGCCGTAGGAGTCTGCGAGACGAGTGAAGTTTGGCCATGGTGAGGCGGGGACGGGGCGGCGGAGGCGGAGGTTGGAGGTGGGCGGCGCGGCGAAGGGGATGCCGAGGAAGAAATCTTGGGAGTAGAAGGGGCTGTGTTTGCCTGCTAGGGTGCCGTTTCTGATGTTGACGATGGGGGGTGGTTTGGTGGTTGTGGTTAGGGGGGTTTGGGAGGCTGAAGTTGATGGTGTGAGTTGTAAGAAGGCAAGGGAGAGATACTGGGTGAAAAGAGCTGGTCTCATATTGAAAGGGAGAAAACGGCTGGCACTCAGAATAATAATGAAATCTTGAAGTTCTTGACAGATGAAGACATTTGGGATACCACTCCTCTTGTACCCAGCCCATAAATCATTCACCTACCGTTGCAAGCGACGCAAGACCCCCCTCAAGTCTTCGGACGATAGGCTAATGGGACGATTCCCCCGTTACACAGCATGAAATAGACGAAAATGACCAATAGTCTCTAATCCGTCTCAAGTGGTTCTCCCATTCGACTTACTAGAATCTCACGGCACCGGAGGTCCGCAGTTCTGGGCGGTGCCGAGTCCGGAAGCGAAGACCCAGCTGACATGATATTCCTGTCTGGGGGGAGAACAATTCGCTGATCTGACGGCGTATTGGCATGAGATCTGAAGAACAAAATCCCTTCCACAACATGATAGATATGCCAGATCGCGGGGTGCCATACCGTCCGGACGCCATCGAGCAGGTTCATGAAGTGGTCAACACAGGCTCACGAAAACGACACACGTCAAGATCTTCAAGCCAGCTGCGTTGGCTAGGGAGGTTAACATACTGAGCTAACATTTCACAATACCATCGAGTCAAGCCGCACCAACACAAACTCATCCATGGAAACCTCCTTCCTTGTAAATAATATCACTTGGTAAAGTGCTCCGCCCCGACTTCCGCAGCGGAGTTGAGGTTACACGGCGTACCCGCCCCCACTCCTTCAACCCCAAACTTCACCACAACCCCCCATTCTCACCCATCGGAAGAAAATCTCACAAAAAGAAAACTAATTCATGACCCTCACAAGCAAATAACGTTTGAAAAGTGTCAAACGGCAAAAGAATTGGACGAACAGGGAATCGAACCCTGGACCACTCACATGCTAAGCGAGTATTATACCACTAAACCATTCGCCCTGCTTCATGTCTCCCGTGCCCAGAATGTGGGCTCAAGAAGGCGACGAGTCCGACGGATGCGGCCGCGCGAACGACAACTCTCAGCTACGGTAATTTCCAGATGCGGCAGTGGCGTGCCTTCTGGTTATTCTGAATGTCTTTGGCGAAGGGCGAGTGGAGGATGCGCCGCATAAGGTATTTGCACTGCTTCTCGTCAACTCATTCGAGACTGATGCAATTCAATTACCAACTCACACCCCGCCTCAGACGGGAAACTGGTGAACTCCAGGCTAAGTAAACGGATGCAATGTACCCCCAAATCAAAGCTTGCCGTGCTCATGCTTCTTCCCTCTCTCTCTTCCTCACTCCGCCGTCAAGCCAAAAACACATAAATGTACCGTTATGCCAAAAGACCATGCTTCGAGTGAAATTGAAAACCCGCTCCCTCCAAAGACCCCGAAGATAAGAATCTCACGTTAGACCCGCAACTCGACGGCAATCTTGTCGCTCTCGCCCACGACCTCCCCGGCGCTCTGAGCGCCCTTGCTCCGGCGCTTCTCCAGCTCGCTCTCGGCGATGGACCGGATGAGCTGGATCGTCAGCTCCGTGCCCGTCGCGACGGCCTCCTCGGACGCGTCGGAGGGCACGTGCAGGAACACGACGCGGCGGTGCTTCTGCTGCTTCCAGAGGTGCGCGAGGGAGGAGAAGTAGATGAAGTCGCAGAGGTAGTGGCCCGCGTCTTCGGATATGCGGAGGTCGGATCGGTCCTGTGTCTAGGGTCAGCGGCCGGACAACTTACATACCATCTTTCCCGTAACACATCGCTCGTCATGTGTCTTCGCAAAGGAGGCCACGAAGTGTGAAAAGCTTCGAGAATCAACATACCGGGCTATGCGCCTTCCACCGCCCCAAAACATCCCCCAAATCGAACTCGGTCTCGATCTCATCCGGACAGCCGTACCAGACCCAACCCTCGCCCTGCTCTTTGCGGCGCTCCTCGTCCTCGAGGCGGTTGCCGTCGACGTCGGGGAACGCGTAGCCGTCGCGGTGCCCGCGGCGCTCGACCGAGTAGAAGAGGCGCGGGCCGGCCATGCCGATGTGCACGACGGCGTCGATCCGCGGGTGCGTCGCGGGGTCCCACAGCTGGGGGACGAGGTGGCGGACGGTCTGGTAGTTTACGCGGATGGCCTCGGGGTGCACGAGGATGCGGACGGGCGGGAGGGGTCGTGATGCTGTTGTCGTCGTCGTCGTTTCTGAAGGGTGGTCTTTGGGGTTCTTTGCGCGGAGGGGCGGGAGGTACGCGGGGAGGGAGTGGGCGATTTCCCAGGAGGGGTTCACGGGGTATTGAACTTTGAAGGGCTGTTGCGGGTTAATTATGTTAGCTGGGTGTGTGTGGTGTAGCAGAAGGAGCGGAAGGCAATTGAAGGGATTCTCTGGCTCGTGTGCTCTGAGGATTGGGAGGAGTGACAATGATGTCCATCGTCGCAATGGCGGGGCAGTGACGATCTGGTAGTGAGGGGCAGACTCGGGGAAAAGACGGGCGGGCTGTGGGGATGGACGGGTGTGTGCTGAACGTACGCCGAAGCCGGTCACGAGGACGGTGAACTCGTCTTGCGAGTCAATCTGCGACCCCATTGTGCCGGTCCTAGTATATCAAAGGATGACAGAGAAAAGAAATAAAAGCTGCGAGAGGTTTTCTCCTTCTTCAAAGGACAGAGAAGGGGGGGAACGGGAAGACGGGAACGGGAAACGGGAAACGATTGTCTTGCGATTATGTACCTGAACTGCGGCCTCCCCTGATGCGGGATTGTTTGCGCTGTAAGAGGTGGGGTCGCAGCGCTAAATGCGAAAGGCCGCAGGCGGAGATGGGACGCCGCCGCCGCGGCAGTAGCAGCAGCAGCAGCAGTGGGGGACAGGGGTTCGCTTTCACCATACTTGGGCGGGGGAACCCGAAGCCTGCGCAAGGACGGTGCGGGGCATCGCTGGGCGAGATCCGAGGCAGGCGCGGGGGGCTTACCTGCCTTTTAGAGACCCGACTACAACGAATCAGAATCGCGCCTAGGAGTACAATTCTATTCGCTCAGAGACATGATTTGGATGCTATGCAGTCAATTTGAATATATCTGTATTTTGCCTCCAGACACGATGAACCACGCCACGGTGAGCTGTGGCTACGCACTCAGAACTGGCCGGGGTAACGAGAGTTTTTAGCTTCCGCACATGTTTAAAAGAAGGGTGGCACTAAACCACGAGGACGTCGAAGCATTGATACAAGGCCATTGGCGGTAAGGGCGCAACTACCAGGCTGTGGGCGCCGGGATGGGAAGGGTAAACTTCATGGACGTTGGTTGAAGCAAAACCTTAGCTGGCACCCTTCGCCTAACCTTGTTATGTGAGTGGTCACTAACGAAGTATCGTGCTCAGCTCAGCGAGCTGACTGAACGTTGGTCATGCCATGGTTTTACTGTTCACTGTATACTATTTCACTGCCGTCTGCCGTTACACCAGCAGCTCATCTATCGTCGTGTCCAAGGCGCAGTGCACCCAACCGGTGCGGGTATCAACCATCATCATATCCAGCCTCATCAATAGTAAAGGACCTCATAACTTCCCAAAATCAATCCGGCTCACTCTGATCGCGGCTCGTCGACGATCTTGAGCCCGCCGACTTCGTCATATTCCACCCGTCTCTCGTTGACGGCATTCCGCATCTCTTCGCGCAATACCGTCTTCTCGCCGGTGACGGGGTCCCATTCCCACCCCTCTCGCATCCACATCCACCGCAGACACGCCCGAAGCTCCTTGTCATCAGGTCGTACTCTCATCCACTCGGGCTGGAAGTTGGGTGCCGCGCCCTTGCAGTTCCAGTCTTGCGCCCGCCCGAGGAGTTCGTCGCGGCAGAAGATGCGCCAGCTGTCGAGTGCGTATTTGCCTTGGGTAAAGTGGCCCATTTCCCAAGAGTCGTCTGTAGCGGCTGGCGTAGTGTTTTTCTCCTCGTGCTCGTCTTCGGTGTTTTGTACAAGGGCATTCAATAGAATATCTCTTTTGTCGTAGTTCTTCACTCTATGAAGGACTCCCGCCGTAGGTGGTCTCTCTAACCACAATCGTGCATATCGCTGAATCGCCGCCGTTCTGACAACAGAAAGACCCAGGTGGTGCGTCATATTCGTAATGGTAGTTGGGTCTGCCTCAGCCAGGGCGGCAGGCGTAGGGTACTTCTCTTTGATCTTGTAAAACGTAGGAATAGCCAGCGTGCCCGCTGTTTTGACGAGATAAGTGACGACGACTAATAGCCAAAAGGGCTCATGGGCCATTTCTTCCTGAATAAGACCAAATCGTGGAGCTGAGAGCGGTGGAAAGGGAATAGTCGAGACAAGGCCATTTCGCTTTTTCGGAGACTGCTTGGGCGATTTCTTCGCTGGGGATTGTGTAAAAAAGGGCGACATCACAGCAGTCTTCCGTTTGGGTGAAGGCCCGCCTACTCCTCCGATTTGACATGGCTCAAATCCAGGGGGGACAAGGGGCCGGATGAGGTCGTCGGGGACGGCGATGGGGACGGAGACAGTCGGGTGGGCCAGGATGGCTTCTCTGCCCGAAGATCCCTGGCTGTCTGCGGGCCGTTGCCTTTTAAATCGCCGGCGATGTCGTCATTGCCTCCATTTGCCTGGCTGGCTGCTGTCTGAATACTGCTGCTGGACTCCGACGGACCAGAGGCGCTTGCATTTGCGGACTCAGGGTTGTTGGACTTGCGGGGGCTGTTGCGCGGTGTAGCGATGCCGTGACGGATGATTGCCGAGGGATCGGGTTGTTCACTACCGGCCGGAGATGTGGATGCCGATTGCTGCTGTGCATGCTCATGACCCGGAGGCGCAAAGTAGTGAGAGGTGGCCTTGGGCGCGGTTCTCTGTCGCTTGACTCGCCGGGGGGCCTCAGTTGCGTCATCGTCACGCTCCCGCTTCAGACCACCCTCTCGCTTGATAACTCGCTCCTCCTTCTCGACGGGCTGGGGCGATGCAGTGAGGCCTGACCGATGGACCCGAAGCATGGCCGACAGGTTCTTGATGGACTGGTCGGTAGCGGCCCAGCCCTTACGCAGCTCCTCGTTAGCTAGTGCG